TTTATGTCAATTTTTTATTAAATATAAAAAATTAATAACCAAATAAAATTTTATCAAATTGATCAATTTTGTATACAATATTTATCAACTTTTCCTATAGTAGTAGTCATTATTATCTCTTTTTTTTTTTTGGTACATTATTATCTCTTATTAATAGCTATAGTTTTGTGGTCTAAACTATACTATAAAAGCATGCCCTATATTATTAAGAATATTGATTTTTTTTTGAATAGGTTGACAAGGGGCCGGGTTGAACCTAAGCCCAAGAGGAAGGGAGAGTGTATCGTGAGGTGACTAATGTCACTTGGCCCGCAGGGCTTGATGTTATTAAGAATATTGATTGATATACATTATAATTTAATTTATTAAAAAATTTATTATCTTCTTGTATGAAATTTAAGACAAACTAACTTTAAAATATAGTTATATGCATAAGATGCAAAAATTGATTAAATGGATTCTGTTTATATTATATTTTTAATAATTAAATTAAATAAATATTAAAAAATATGTCAAACTAAATATGTACCAATCATTTTTCTATTAATAATTATGATTTCCTCCGAAAGAAAGTCCCAACTACATTCTAGAGAACTTCTTCAAGGTTTCCTTTTTGAATATAAGCAATGATCATAAGGTTTCTTTCTTCTTTTTCTTCTTTTTTTTTTTTTTGAAAATAGGCAATGGTAGATGACTTTCCCTATTAAAAAGTGGGACAAGTTCCCATTCTTTCTTAGTGGGAAATGAAGTATATACCTAGGTTAGTTGGAAAATTCACAGTTGTTATCCAATCAAACATAAAAAGCTATCATCTCAACATTATTCAACATTCTTTTCCCGGAATGAAGTCCTCATTAATTTTAGCAAAACCAAATTCTGGGAGCACAATAATCTTTTGAAGAGAATAAGAATCTTCAACAGCAACTGTTCTTCGCTTGTCTAAATGTGTGAATTTTTTCTCTTTTTTTTTTTTTTAGGATGATTATTCCAATGAAATAGCTCTTAGTTTTAGCAAGTTTTCATCTCCAATTTTTTTTTTTTTTTTTTTTTGGTTTTTCCCCTTTTCATGCTTATCACTCCGAATTAGCTCAACGAGCTGAACTTGTATGTGTTAATCTACTTTGTGCACACCCAGTGGGAAAAGAAAAGAAAAATAAATATGACAACAGAATGTGGAAAATTAAAATGTTTTGAGTCCTAATGTACATTAAAAATATCAAAATGTCTCATTTTAGTTATAAAATATATAGATGAAACATCCTAAAAATCTCACTTGAGCTACACACTCATTATGTGATTAAAATTAAATATTTTATCAAAATATCTTTATTTTCACTTCGATATAACAACTTGCTTGGCATCACATGTTTGAACCTTTATTTGGGAGTAAACTACGAATTGATTATATGTTGAAAGTTTGTGGCGTTGCTAACAACAATAATTAAGATATAACTCTACACATGTTAATTTCACAAAGAGGAATAAACAAAAGCATATTCATTAGCTAGTGGAAATTCAGACAAAAGGGGTCAATTTCCAGCTACTTTAATCATATTTCGCGAATTGAACATTTACAGGTAGGGGGTTTGAACCCAATACTTTTTTTAGGCATCAGTATTGTCCTTAATTGCTAGACTAATACTGTGATGGCAAATGAAGTATCAAACTATCAATCTTCTTGAAACTGTAATTTGTAAAGCTTGAAATTAAAGATGCACAAACATCGAATGTCAATGCAAATACAGAACTTAAAGGGGTTAAAGCAAAAAAGCTTCTTCTGTCCTTCCTGTAGTAGAAACAGGAATTTGCCAGTTATCTAGGTTACATATTATTCTTGCTTGTGAAAGAAAAAGTAAGGGTACTAGAATGCTTGTGATGGAAGAAATAGCTAGGTCCAATCAAAAGATTCTTGGTTTATTGTTGCACATGCAACAATTAATAGCCATTTTCCTTTATTTGTTGAGCCAATTGAGGGCATAAGCCTTGCAAGAAGTTTGTCTTTTTTTCCCAACACAAACATTACATCATAGAATTGGGTCTAGGTAAGTCTTTGTCCTGTCTTCAATGAAAATTTGGTGTTGGTATGTGTCATTTTCAGTCCAAAAATATGATAAAAGGATTTATCTCCTTTTTTTTTTTACTCAAATGAAAATGGTTTTGGGGGCAAAAAGCTATTCATTTCCTTTTCCTTAGAAAGCCAAAAACCATGGAAAAGGAGAGCATCTTTTTACGGTAGTAGCCCATAAACTACTCACCTAAATTTCTCTCTTCTTTTTTTGTTCTGTTCTCTTGCATGCCTTGATTAATTTTTATTTCTCCCAACTCTTGAAAAGGAGTTCAAATCTTTAACGATGGCAAGGTTTTCTCCCACATGTATAAAGTGTGAAAAAAGAGGTGGGGAAACCAAAAACCCCCAATAGAGTACCAAATGTCAAGGAAGGAATCTTAGAATTCATTAAAAGAACATTTGGCCCACCCCGAAGTGGGATAATTGCCTACAAATTAAGATGAAACTTTTTTCTTGGTTAAATTGCACTTTCTTGATGAGCTGAACCCGAAAAAATGTGTTGCATATGGGGTGTAATTGAATTTCCCATCACAGCCTCTGTTCTACCTACCTTGACAAGATTTCAGCAAGAAAAACCCAGAAAAATGAAGATCAAATTAGGTCCTCCAAATTTGCAACAAGAACCAAAATTGAGCTAATGTAATGTAGATAGATAGACTACTATGAGTAAAGATGTGTGGGAAGAAAGAAGAAGATGAGAACTTTGGTCCTTAAAAGATAATAAAACAAACTATATGTGTCCTGCAAATTAAGAAATGAGGAGCTATTACTACAAAATAACCTTTCTAAAGGGACCCTACCCGCCCCACACTGCCCTTCCTTTCCTTCCTGGCAATCCCTCCATGAAAGAAAGTTCACTTGTTTACTCAAAACTGAAGAAAAGCTTGCACTCGCTTTTGTCCTTTCAAAATCTTATCAAGAAAAAAAATGTTAAGTAATTTTACAGCTTTTGGGAGCATCCTGATGATCTTCTTTTCCATTTGTTCCCACATGGGAAGCTTCTGATTTCAGCATATTGTTCCATTGGTGGAGCATATAGTCCATGTCTTTCAGAGAAGTCAAAAACTTAATGAACTGGGGATACACAGTCTAAATCATCTCAAAATATGTCCTCACTTCAGAAACTGACCCTCTAACCATCTCTTAGTCTGGTCTATTTGAAACTCTTCATTTTAGTCTTTCAGGGTAAAAGACACCGGAAGCACTGGCGGAGCTAGGAGGTCTGCAGGGGTACGGTCCCCCTAAACTTTTCTTAAAAAATCAGTTTGGTCCCTTAGTTTTTATTTTTATTATTTTTATCCTTACTTATTTGGTATTATTTTAATTATTTTCTAGCATGTGCGTACCAAAAAGAAAAAAAAAATCATTTTCTAGCATGTGTTGTTGATGATTAGTGTAAATGATAAAGAGAAAAATGGGTAAAATAAAGATACAAAAAATCTATTTACTTTAAATTTTATTAGATTGTAAAATATGAGACTCATATAGTGTTTGTTTATTAATATTTTTACTCCCTCTTTCTTTGTTCAGATTATATATTCTTTACTTAATATATGTTCATTTTATCTTTCAATTAATAGTGTTTATACCACGTTATTAACCACTATTAATTTATCATTAAAGACTAACAAATGTTATTTAAAATTTTTTGTGGCTCCACCACTAATTGAGAGTCCTCTAACTCCATATTTTTTTAAAAAATAATTTCTCCATCTTTAAACTTTCTTAAACAAGACTCTTAATTGCATCCGGCCCTTTGGGCCAAGTGGTCTTCGACCACCTGATGCATTCCCCCACCCCCCTAGGTAGGGTTCAACCCCGCCACATGTAATATTGTTCAAAAAGACAAGACTCTTAATTTAAAGTTCCTCTCTTTGAAAAGAAAGAATGATTTTGAAAATTTTGTTCTTAATTTTAAAACTGATTTTGAAAATTTTGTTCTTAATTTTTCATATCTGAATACAATAGTAGATACATGTTATTATTAACACAGCCTTTACTCTTGAAAATCAAACTTTGAAATTTGGATATATGAAACTTGACATTTACATGTTAAACCAATTTGTGCTCATATTTTCCGGTTTTGAACAAGCAAGTTACCATCAAGTTTTAGAATATCCAGTTTCATTTCTTAGTGAGGAGTCCCATAGATTGAAATGCAAAAGTCAGGGGACTTGATTAAAAAATTTTAAAGCTAAAGGGCCAAGTTGAAAGTGAGTGGAAAATTGAGTCTGTCTTTTACCACAATCTTTTCTTCTCTCTTTCAAAGGCTTTCCCCCGTATATGTCTTCATATTGCTTACAGATTGAAGAACTTGAAGATTCATGGCTTTTCTGGTAAAGATGATGCCATGATGGTGATCTCTGCGTGGTCCTTCCATAGCGTCAATAAACAGGGCATAACATAATCAAGATCAAGACCATATTTTTCACATTTATATTCCCCCATATGATTATTTATTGCTTCTAATCCTACCAATGCTATGCGGAATGATTCGGAATTGACTCGATTAAGACACATATTGTAAAGCTTAATTATTGCTAATGACATCATTGTAAGATGTCCCATGGCAAATATTCATTCTGCCTAAGAGTGATTTTCCTAGCAATCAGTTCTACAGTGTTGTTCCATTCTTGTAAATCATATGTTTCAAGTTCTATATTCCAATGAGACAATCAACTAACTCGTACGTAATTTTCTCATAAATCTTTTCAATTCCATTGTCCCTGAACCTCATGCCGAAAAACAAAAGAAGCTGCACAAATCTTTGTCCTGATACCAACAGAAACATTATCATGCTTTAGCCAAAGAAAAAGAGCATGCACAAATGTCATGTACAAGTCATGATTTCAGCAAAGACGCCATGGGAGTGGCACAAAATCCAGAAATTCAGGGGATACAAGAGGAGCTTTACACGTTGGTACCACAGATAACAATCTTTCAATCTTCATTGAATAACCAAAGCACAAACTGAATTAGCAAAAAGGATTCAACTTTTACCACACACACTCAACCTGGACTTCACAAATCCTGTATCTTTACCATATCCTTTGAAGCCTTTTGGCTTCTTTACATCAAGACTTACCTATAGATGACTTGGCACAACAAGCAGTCCAATCTTCACTTAGAACCTATATTCTAAATGAAATATATTTCACTACATTGATAACAAACATACCAAATTTTTATACCATTAATTGTGTACTTGTTTAAGTCCTCCATGCTAATACTTTTCTATGAAGCTCAGTCTAGACCTGATAAAATGTTTCAAATTTTAAAATAGTAACAAGCTTTTGAACTATTTTCAAAAAGTGAGCAGACAAATTTTGCACGAGGGAGCTTGGTCACATGTTAGTAAGTCTTACTTCCTTTGGTGCCATGGATTCCTTGAGCAATCGTGTCTACCCAATGCAGCATGTGGGTACAGATCCTTGTAGAAAATGAGGGATGTATCAGAACCGGTGCTGCTCCTATTGTCTCCATTATTAGAATGTGTCATTGATTTGCTACAAAATCGAAAATCATCCATCATCTGCCTCTGCATGTTAGGAGAAGAAAGCCTGCAAGCCTTTTGTCTAGCTTCATTAGATTCTGTGAGATTCATGTAGCTGGGTTTTTGGTAATAACTATCCCCTGCTCTGTCCGCCATGAGAATGTTGCTAGACATTATGGTTGGAGATACTGATTTAGACGAAGTTGATGGTGAGCTCTCATCATACATGGATTCAGAACTTGAAGCACAAGATGACCCAGAAATTTCACTAGCTATAGGTGGCTTAGCTAGAATTTTGGTTGTAATATTATTCCTTCTTACTTTTACTGGTTCCCGTTCTGAAGGGCATGATCGAAAGCTAAGAATGTTATTTTCACATTTCTGAGAAAATTGGATCATCTCTGATTGGTCTGTATGGATTTCTTCCATCACCCTGGTTTCCCAAGGCTTGTCTGCCATCCATCGTTCAAGCAAACTGCAATCTACCCCATTCTTGTTTAGCCCATGCTGCTTGAGAGACATTGCCGGTTTATTTTCCCTCACATTTGGGCTGGCACATGATCTTGATTGCTGAAAAGATAAGTGTTTCATGGTTTTACCAAAACTTAAATTGCAAGAAAGTCTTAGACCATATTCCCTATTGAAAATTCTAACTATATTTAGCACATCTAATATCTAGCTTAACTTAAAAATGTTTAGCACTCTAGTCCATTACCTGTTTTGTGAGGGAGTATAACATTGCTCTCTCCCTCTTGATTGCACCTTCCTGCCTCATTCGAACTTTAGCTCTAACTTCATCTATCGTTCCGGGGCTATCACACCATCCTTGCTGACAATTGTGAGCATAACCATGCGTTATTAACATCTTGTATTTCAAATTTATCTTTTATTATAAGACCAAGAGAGTCACATACCTCGACTTGCTTGGACAGGTCAGTATTGGGGTATTCATCCGATGATTTGGACCCTTCCACAGAAACATTCACGCCTTGTGCTCTTACTCGAGCCTGAACCCTAACAAGAGCCTGCATGCACCTCAATGTTACAGCAGCTTGCTTACGTACCTGACGACCACGGAATATAGCTTGAATCCTCACCACCGCTTTCAAGGCCCTCATAGCCCTTCTTGCCTGACATTGTCATGCCATAAAATCGTAAATAAAAAAAAAAAACACGTTTCACAGGCATAAAAAAAGGAAGCTTTCGCATAAAAGGCTAGTAATTTTCACACGACTAAATTGATGACATGTGACAAGCCCATAGTATGCGATGGTTAATTATGTGACTAATTGTCTCTTCTGCATGAAAGAGGTTTCAAAACTCCAGTTTACCAATTAAGTAACCACAAAATCTTAATATAAATTAACGAAAAGATATACACCTAGCTTTCCTTGTATTGAATAATCTCGCCCACCCAGCCCTGTCCCCAGACCAGACACATACCACTACAAGTGTTCAATTACATTAAGAAACAGAGATTCTTTGATCACAAACATTCAACTCAGATTCTGAAACTTGGTCAATTAAGGACTCAAAACACATGCATATATATACATAGAATTAGTTTCTCAAAACCTTCTATTAGAACATATTTATATATGCGAGAAAATGACAAGCCACCAACATTGCACGAATTGTTACACCTAATGACCCAATTCCTCTGGGATCGATCAAATATGTATATGGAGGTCCACTAACCTAAAAGCTTTTGGGTTCCAACGAGTATGTGTAGGCCTTTGCTTATGAGCTTCTATTGGGTCCAGTCATGTTTTGTCATTATTTGTTAATCTCTATTAAATGTTCTAGATACATTTTGTTCATCTATATTCCTGGTGAGAGAAAGCCACTTACCAGGAAGCCTCGAAAAGCCGTTTGAATCCTGATCGCCGCCCATTCTTGCTTCACCACCTTGAAATGTTTTGGTGCAGCACGGACCAAAGTGGCCATGGCTGCAGCAAAAGCCTCATCCACCGGGTATGAGGAGGAATCAGACGCCACTAATCCAGAGAAATGGTGCATCTTAAGGCCCTTGGAAGAAGGCGACCCGAAGCCTTCAGAGGAGCTCTTCCATAGCCTCCATTTCTTCTTCCCCTTGTCACCCACTTTCTCCTGTAAACACCATTTGAAGTAGAATCAAAGGATGAAATGAAAACAGGGGAAAACAGAGAGGAAAGAGTAGACAGAATTTTGTATAACATTACTTGATTATTGTTGGAATTGGAAGGTTGTGGTGGTTTCTGAGTGACTAAGGACTTGAACCATTTCCCGGAAGCACCCATTTTAGAAAATTTGAAAAAAAAAAAAAAAGCTTGCGTCGAGATTTATGAGACACCGAGTGCAGAGAGGTGGCTTCTTCAATTCAATGCTTTAGAGAACAAAAGAGAGTTGTTTTGAATTTTGAATTTCGGAAAAAAGAAGGGAATATAATTTTACTGTAGCAACGGATACACCAGACCTTTTTTCTTTTCTGCTTTTTCTTGGGCTGGGACGGTGCAGCCGACTGCAAACTATGGATTAAGATTTCGGGCCTTTGTTGGGGAGCCCAATAAAAAAATATGGACCACTAGACTTTTTCTTGAGCTGGGAAGGTGCAGCCCACTGCAAATTTTGGATAACGATTTTGGGTCTTTTGTTGGAGAGCCCAATAAAAAAAACAAGGACCAAGGACAGAGGCCCAGTTCAGAGCATAAATGTCACCTGATATGCACGTCGCACCCACATTAACACAGCAATCCTAAACCGCATGATGTGGATGAGAAATTCTGCAGGAAAGATGGAGATTCGGGGAAAAAATAATAAGCCTTGTGATTTCAGT